TCCTCAAGAAAATGGCAATCAGTCTACCACAAGATCCAGCAATTCCACTCTTAGGCATATACCCAAAAGAAGCACATTCATACAACAAGGACATCTGTTCAACGATGTTCATAGCAGCACTATTTGTAATAGCCAGAAACTGGAAGCAGCCTAGATGTCCCTCTACCCAAGAATGGATAGAGAAAATGTGGTACATTTACACAATGGAGTACTACTCAGTGGAAAACAACAAGGGAATCTTGAAATTTGCAGGAAAATGAATGGAACTAGAAGAAACCATTCTGAGCGAGGTAACCCAATCACAAAAAGACAAACATGGCATGTACTCACTCATATGCGGATTTTAGACAGAAAGTAAAGGATTACCAGCCTCCAATCCACACTGCCAAAGAAGCTAAGGAGGACCCTAAGAGAGACATACATGGTCCCCTGGAGAAGGGGAGAGGGTCAAGATCTGCTGAGCAAACTGGGAGCACGGGAAGAAGGGGGAGGGAGCTAGGAGAATGAGAAAAGAAGAGGAGGGATGCAGAGGACATGAGGGAGCAGAAAGGTTGAGTTGGGGGAAGAATAGAAGATAACAAGAATGGAGATACCATAATGGAGGGAGACATTTTAGGTTTACAGAGAAATCAGGCACTAGGGAAATGTCTGGAGATCTACAAAGATGACACCAGCTAACAATCTAAGCAACAGAGGAGAGGTTACCTTAAATGCCTTCCCTGGATAATGAGATTGATGACTGACTTATATGCCACCCTATAGCCCTCATCCAGCAACTGGTGGAAGTAGAAGCAGACACCCACAACTAATCACTGAACTGAACTGGATTCCAGATGCAGACGAGTGAAGAGCAAAGGGGTCCAGACCAGGCTGATGAAACCTACATAAACAGCTGACCTCAACATCGGGGAAATCTTGCTCCCCAGACTGATACCTGGGATACCAGCATGGGACTGATCTAGACCCCAAGAACATGGGTTTCAGTGAGGAAACCTGGGAAATCTACGGGACCTCCTGTAGTAGTTCAGTACTTATCCCTAGCATAGATGTGGATTTTGGGAGTCCATTCCACATAGAGGAATACTCCCTGAGCCAGGACACAGGGGTGGGCCGCAGCCCTAACCCAAAGGATATGATAGACTCTGATGACACCCTATGGAAGGCCTCACCATCCAGGGGGAGCAGAAAGGATATGTGATAGTTAGTGTTTTAGTTGGGGGCGGGTGGTGGTAGGGAGGACAGGAGGGAGAAGGGAACTGGGATTGTCATGTAAAACAATCTTGTTTCTAATTCAAATAAAAAAATCTAGAAAAAAAAAGAACTTCAATCAGCAGACCATTGATAAGAAGGACAGTAAGTTCTAATAATAGATATCTAAAATAATAGTAAAATTAACATCTTAAATGAGATAGAAGTCAATTTCCATTTTCTCTTTTATTATTTTTGTACAGTATATTTTGAGCATTAGAAGTTTACTTCTTTTCTATGTAAGTCTGAATGTTAGCAATCTACAGCAGATGCTGTATCTCCCCTGAAAGCCTCAGGGAGCTCTCTGTCCCTGTCATCCATAGGAAGTAACCTTCAACCTCATTATCTGATATGTAATTCCACATTGCATCTGTGTTCTAGACATAAGAATAAAGGGACTGGGTTAAAGAGAAAAAAACAACTATATGGCATATCATTCATTAGAATTACTACCCACATTTAAGTAAAATAGAGGTTTGAAGTGAAGTCCTTTTTTTGAGTGGGCATGTTCTGTATATAAATTGGTGGCAATGTAGTTATGAAGGATAATTGATGATGAGGGACAGCTAAGGTCTCTGCCACAGGAAGCCTCAAATCTGCTTTCACGTCTAGCATCAGACTGCTTGTATGTTATGTCCCCTTCTTAGAGTGATTTTTCATTCTTATTATAAAGTGAAAAAAAAAAGGAATTGAAAAAAGTGCATGTTTTTTAGATGTAATAAGAGGCATGTTAGGGACATATGACAAGGTTTTACAAGCCTCAGTATGTTTCCAGAAATAAATGTATTCTATACCAGAGAAAATATGCCCAAATATATTTTAAAACATATAATTAAAGATATGAATTATTTAAAGAAGTAGTGTTCAAAATAAACAGCATGCAAAGATGAGCTTTAGCCTGCATATTGAGAGATGAATAACATTGCTGAACACAAAGCTGAGAATAAGGTTACCCAGAAAACAGAGGGCTAGAGCCATTGCATGATGATATTTAGTTAGATGTCTGGTTGATTGGGTTAAGGAATTCCTGAACAATTAAGACAGACGGGAAGATTGGAGTCAACTTCTTAGAAAATATTCAATGTCATGTTGGCTATATTCTGTTTTCAGATG